TAGAAAGCAAAAATCATGGTTTTAGAACAATTTTGACATATATAAACCGCGTCTCTAGGAGAATTACATCCGATTTCAGAGCAACTCCAGTACGAGTTATTCAGCTTATCATAGATTTGTATGAAGGAATGCAATGAATTCTAGTGATTACAAATAAACTAATGTTAGAAAATATTAATGAAATATATTTATAATTTTTATTCATCAATTAACCAGTAAACGAATACAGTTGCCCTACACTGTTTGCCTGCGTCATTAAACAGAATGCACTGGATAAAACGAAATAAAAATCACTGTATCAAAGTTAAAGGCGACACAAAGCTGAGTGTGTGCAGAAATCACAACCGATGATGATGATGAAGATGTGTGTGTGTGTGTGTGTGTGCAGAAATCACAGCCGATGATGATGATGAAGATGTGTGTGTGTGTGTGTGTGTGCAGAAATCACAACCGATGATGATGATGAAGATGTGTGTGTGTGTGTGTGTGTGGTAGGGTTGGTGTAGGGCAATAGAATATACGGTCTGTACAGTATAAAAACCATTACGCCTATGGAGAGTCCCCACAAGGATAGCTGACCAGACTGTGTGTGTGTGTGTTAATGTGTGTGTGTGTGTGTGTGTGTGTTAATGTGTGTGCGTGTGTTAATGTGTGTGTGCGCAGGCGTGAGCGCGGCGCTGCAGATCCAGTGCTATCAGTGTGAAGACGTTCGGCAGGACGACTGCTCCTCGCCAGAGTTCATCGTCAACTGCACCGTCAACGTGCAGGACATGTGTCAGAAGGAAGTGCTGGTCATGGAGGATGGTAAGGATGCCGCATCACTTCCTGTGCTGCCTGTTGCTATGGTGGCGCACTAGTCTCATTAGCTGACCGATGATGATCATGGTGATGATGATCGTATGTGCAGTGAACACTGCTGCTCTCGTTGAAAATCACTATTATATTAGTGAAATAATTAATAAATAAAAGAAAGCACTGAGATAAAAGAGAGTTAGATAAATAAGAGGCTGACATGGGCTGCCGTCACTCGTCCAGAAATCTCGCAGGAACAGAAGAGTCACTGGCTCTGACAGGCTGTTCTTCAATCTGAAGGCAGATTTCCAGCTGAACTTGTGATTGGAGACGCTGTCGATCTCCTGTGTTTCTCCATCAGCCGTCAGCTGATAAAAACTGGACTTTTGCAGTAGTGCAGTACTTTCACACAATACATTAGCACTGTAAGCATGAGGTTAAAGACAAAAGAGCAGAACCGTCATTATGTAATGGACTGAAGTCATCCCTGCTAACACACAACGTAACAGTTACGTAATGTATAGGTATTTTTTGGTAATTTCATGACTTACCAATTGACAACGTAACTACGACGTTGCATGTCCGTAATTTCATTACCAACTCACAACGTTGTTAGTACGTCCTCCTAACATTGTAAGATTACCAAGGACGTTCCAGATACGTAATCTATTCGTAATAAATAAGTAATTTCATGCCTTACTGACAATGTAACTGCAACGTCGTATGAACGTAATTTCATTACCATCATTTACACGTTCTTTATATCTCTTATTACCAAAAATTGCATTTTGAAATGTGTAATTAGATGCAAGATTTAAATTTACCTTAAGATAATGTTTCTTTTCATCAAGTCAGAACATGGACAAGTGCTTTTAATAGTGACGTGACATACAGCGCGCGCTCCTCCACAACTGACACACGTGACACACCGCGCGCACAGTATAATGTTGACAGGAAAGGAAAATATTTTTTTCTTGAGTCGTGAAACTTTTTATTTTGTAACGAGTTATGAAGATAACGTTGAAATAATGACACAGATCCGGCTACACCATCTCATCCGCTGCAGATACTGAATCAGGAAAGCACGTTTGCCTGAGGCACTTTTTTACTTCAACTGTGTCTGACAGAAGAATTCATTGTTCTGAGGTGAGTCTTACCAGCACACAACTATTGATCCACGACGTTGCAACGTCACAAAGTTACGTTGTGACGACAAAACCGGGAATTTCACAACGTAACTAGTTATGTCGCCACAACATAACTGTGGTCACCAGATTATGTCGCAGTTACGTAACAGTTACGTATTTTTGTTAGCTGGGATAGCAGTCGATTCACACATACAATATTCATTAATAAAATGAGGTCAGACAGACGGAGGAATGTCTTTAGACACTGTGTGTGTGAAACAGACGGAGTGCCACCTATGGGCACTGCAGTGGTGAGGTGCCGCACGCGTCCAGTAAAGATCTCGCTACTCCTCACTGCTCCTCTGACTGCTTCTTCATTGGCTCCTCACTGTTCCTTCATCTGCTCTTCACCGCTCCTTCATCTGCTCCTCACTGCTCCTCCATCTGCTTTTTCATCGGCTCCTCACCGCTCATTCATCTGCTCCTCACTGCTCCTCCATCTGCTTTTTCATCGGCTCCTCACCGCTCATTCATCTGCTCCTCACTGCTCCTCCATCTGCTTTTTCATCGGCTCCTCACTGCTCTTCACCGCTCCTTCATCTGCTCTTCTCTACTCCTCACTGCTCCATCTGCTCCTCACCGCTCCTTCATCTGCTCCTCACTGCTCCTCCGACTGCTTCTTCATTGGCTCCTCACTGCTCCTTCATCTGCTCCTCACTGCTCCTCCTTCTGCTTCTTCATCGGTCCTTCATCTGCTCTTCACCGCTCCTTCATCTGCTCCTCACTGCTCCTCCATCTGCTTTTTCATCGGCTCCTCACTGTTCCTTCATCTGCTCTTCACTGCTCCTTCATCTGCTCCTCTCTACTCCTCACTGCTCCATCTGCTCCTCACTGCTCCTCCGACTGCTTCTTCATCGGCTCCTCACTGCTCCTCCATCTGCTCCTCACCGCTCCTTCATCTGCTCCTCACTGCTCCTTCATCTGCTCCTTCATCTGCTCCTCCATCTGCTTCTTCATTGGCTCCTCACTGCTCCTTCATCTGCTCCTCACTGCTCCTCCTTCTGCTTCTTCATCGGCTCCTCACTGCTCCTTCATCTGCTCCTCACTGCTCCTCCATCTGCTTCTTCATCGGCTCCTCACTGCTCCTTCATCTGCTCCTCTCTACTCCTCCCTGCTCCATCTGCTCCTCACCGCTCCTTCATCTGCTCCTCACTGCTCCTCCGACTGCTTCTTCATCGGCTCCTCACTGCTCCTTCATCTGCTCCTCACTGCTCCTCCTTCTGCTTCTTCTTCATCGGCTCCTCACTGCTCTTTCATCTGCTCCTCACTGCTCCTTCATCTGATCCTTCATCTGCTCCTCACTTCTCCTCCATCTGCTTCTTCATCGGTTCCTCACTGCTGCTTAATCTGCTCCTCACTGCTCCTCCACCAGCTTCTTCATCGACTCCTCACTGCTCCATCATCTGCTCCTCACTGCTCTTTTATCTGCTCCTCACCGCTCCTCCATCTGCTCCTCACCGCTCCTTCATCTGCTCCTCACCACTTCTTCATCTGCTTCTCACTGCTCCTTCATCTGCTCCTCACAGCTCCATCTGCTCCTCACTGCTCCTCCGACTGCTTCTTCATCGGCTCCTCACTGCTCCTTCATCTGTTTCTCACTGCTCCTCCATCTGCTTCTTCATCGGCTCCCCACTGCTCCTTCTTCTGCTCCTCACTCCTCCTTCATCTGCTCCTCACTGCTCCTTCATCTGCTCCTCACTGCTCCTCCATCTGCTACTTCATCTGCTCCTCAATCTGCTTCTTCATCGGCTCCTCACCACTCCTTCATCTGCCCCTCACTGCTCCAATTAATCGGCACCGATAGTTGATTGCTGGAACTATCGGCAAAAATCCACACCAATAGTTTTTCTGGGTTGCGTCCGTTTCTGGAGCGGCTGAGGAGGTCCGTTGCCATTATACAGTACGAGAGTGACCTCTGGAGGCGGAATCACTGACACCTCATGCTGTTTGTTTTGACATGTGACACTGCGCGCTGCACAGAGCGGGACACTTCAGATGTGGATTTAAAACAGATAACGAAACGGTTTGTATACAGTACACTATAGTGCATGTTTTTATATCATTACTATGTAATTAATTTGTTGACTAGATGATGCATTAGTGTAGAAAGGACAGCAGTATGTTTGCTATCAAGAATGAGAGGACGCGAACATTAGCAGCACCTCAAATGGTTAAAACAATGTGACCAAAACACACTGATCTGTTCATTCAGCCGACAGAAATCCTGCCGCACCACAGAGTGCCATTCACACAGTTTTCCTTTAAATTACATTATATTTGTCCCAGATCGTTGTTAATGTACATATAGACTTCACCCTGGGCTGGAAGATTGTGTATTGTGCATTTTTCAGAGAAATGTTTGTCTTTCTGTGGCTCTAATAAAGTCTGTATGCTTCATTTAGAGAGCTATAATAATAGATTGCGCTTTTTCTTTCCGTTTTTTTTACAACAAACTTCAAACTCATCTATGCCGCTTTTTTGATTATTCTTGAAGTGAACTTTGGTGATTAAATAAACTGTTTCAGACCGCCGCTTGAAATGAACGCGACACGTCCGGTGTGTGTGATACCTGCGAGTTCTCCTAGACGTGGCGATTTATTCATGTACAAGGTATGGTTCAGTCCGTTTTTTTTTTATAGTAAAGCACTATTTTAGTTTTCATTCAGTATTCATTTTAAATTAATCGGTATCGGACGAGTTCTCCTAGACGTGGCGATTTATTCATGTACAAGGTATGGTTCAGTCCGTTTTTTTTTTTATAGTAAAGCACTATTTTAGTTTTCATTCAGTATTCATTTTAAATTAATCGGTATCGGCCAGTGTGGTCCAATCTAGTTATCGGTACTGGTAAAATCCACTATCGGTCGACCTCTAGTCTTCTTTCAGTTTTGATGCTTAAACTTAAGGAAGTGATAAATGAACACAGAAGTCAATTTTGACAATTAATGCATAAAGAAAATTAAGCTTACTTACTTTTTTTTTTTTTTTTGTATTGTCACATTATTTTCATGACATTTAAGTTTTAAAATTATCATTACTGTAATTCGTCTGGACATTTAACATTAGAGTTGGTAATTATTTGTAATAGATTCCTTTTACTATAAAAATATAGTGGTGCAACAATATTGAGATTTCAGACAACATAAATTAAAGGCAGAACAACGAATATTATCATAATTTATAGAACAATTTGGGAGAATTTAATGCAGAAAATCTTAATGATCTTAAAGTTCTTTATGCAAAATACAATTATCTATTTAATTTCTGGTAACTTTCAGGACAGATGTGAGCTGTATTCCTGTTATTTCTGAGATTCACAATATCACGAGAATATGCGTGAGCATGACGGCACACCTGCCGTCTGTGGCGTCTGTAGGTTCACTATTGTGAATGTGTGTTTGTGCAGGGATTCACTACAGAAAGTCATGTGCGTCGTCGGGGGCGTGTCTGATCGCGTCGTCGGGCTACCAGCAGTTCTGCACGGGGAAGCTGAACTCCGTCTGCATCACCTGCTGCAACACGGCACTCTGCAATGGCCCACGGTACAAGAGAAGAGCGGCGTCCCACGCCTGCAGACCCTCCGTCAGCCACTACACCGCCCCACTGCTCGGCCTCATCCAGCTCTACCTCTGCTCGCACTGACCCGCACGCATCTGATGTGTGTGTGTGTGTGTGTATGAAACTCACGGGACGGAGCGTAGCATCAGAGAGCGTCTGCTGGCAGAAGCAGCTCTCACAAATTACAGAGTCTGTCTGTGTGCTTTCCTTCATTCTTATTATTAATGGACCTGTGTGCGGGGCTTCCTCATTTAATCCCACCAATCACAGCACACACACACAGAGATAAACACCCGCGCTTCACTGACAGCAGGACAATCCTCTTCATCAAACATCGTCAGCTAGAATTATCACTAAACATTACTCAGCTATCATTTATATCATTATAGTTCTTGATAAATGATACATTGAATTCTATATCAATATTGTAATAGAATCATTTATTGGTTGTGTTTTTCATTATATGTATAGTATAGCCATGTATAGGCACAAACCTTTAAAACTGTTACTGAACATTTTCTACCAATGACAAAAGATGCAGTTCACCGAACACACATGGGCATATAGGGGCATGATGTCACACTATATGGGGTAAATAGTCACATTGAGGACAAACTATCATGAAACCAAAAAAAAAAAAAAAACACCAAGCTCTTGTTTTGGCTAATTGTAATGTATATATGAAATAAATGAGGAGATCTACAGCAGAGCACTTTAGCTCATGTTCATCAGGTCTGATGGACAGGTGAGGAACTCAACTCTAGTCCTGATCTAATCACCTGGTGGACATATAAAGACGTCTTGCTGTTCACACTTTCAGTAAACTCTTCCTTCACGCATTTATGACTGTAAACCCTATCGATAAGAAACAGTCCTAGTCTCCCCTATATATTCATAAGTCTACTCAGTCTTTATTATTATTATTATTTTAGGAGTATGAGAATGATGCAGTGCCTCAGCTCCTCTAACTGCAGCTCCGCTCACTCTAAACATTCATCAACACACTTCACATACAAACCAAACCTACATAATCCACAAGACCTTTCCATCCCTTGGTTCTCCTGATGCTCTGTATCTTCTGTTGTGTCAGTGTTCATCATGTGTCTCTGATTCTCCAGCATCTTTTGCTCTTCAGTGACTGTGATGTTGAGATCATCATGAGGATGGAAACCGTTGAAGATCTGATCGCTGGAGATTGTGTTTGTCTGGTGGGAAGGACGTAGCGCTCTCATGTAGCTTCTGAATACAAATAGGACCTTTGATCTCCTATAATTGTATGAATGCAGAGGGTTTCTAAAGGCAAACATATGCACTCAGCTCCAGATACATAAAGAACCAGTCGGAGTTTTGGACACGTTTGATCGAATATATATTTAATCAAATGTGTTTGATTACATGTGTGTGAGGGATAATATGCAGTCATTATCTCAAAATAATGGCTTCTCAAATAAAATCATGGACAGCACTTGATTTGAGTTTAAATTATTATCTGACTTCACTTCTGTAAAGTGATGCTCTTCCTCAGTATGTTGTCCTTATTTCCAGCACAAATGTCTAAAGATCAAGATGCATCTACTGCAAAATCAAGATGACTTAAAATATTAGGGCTTGTTTACCTTATTTTGATTTTTGACCACATTGGCAGATTTTTTTTCTCATTTTAAGTATAAACTCAATCAATTTTGATAAATGTTCCAGAAAATAAGATTTCATTTCTCATGGCATTGTGCTTCTCCAGTATATAACAAAATTTCAGCATTAATTTATGTTATTATTAATCTAAAATACAAGCTTTATAGCTTTAGTGTGTGTGTGTGTGTGTGTGTGTGTGTGTGAGTGTTTCTCAGACTGCAGCTCCACTGCTGGAAACCCAGAGGGCTTCATTAAAGCCAACTCTGCATTTAGTGTGAGGGAGAAAGTCATATGAACGCAGAGACACACACTGGTCTATTCAATTCAATTCAAAAATTGCTTTATTGGCATGACTGTAAAAAATACAATATTGCCAAAGCTTGGAATATATGTAGAGAAACATAATAACAATGAAAAGATAAAAATAATAGAAGAAAACATTATAACAATTTAAACTTAAATTTAATTGAACTTAAACTTAACACACTGAGGTCAGATACAGTACACACACTACACACATCCAGTGCTGCTGTCTGTCCCTCTCCTACTACTGTCTTTATTTGTTCCTCTTCAGCCATGGCTGTACATTTCTTTATGATGTTTGTGAATTTGTTCATGTATAGGTCTCTTATTGATTTAAATTTGTAACAGTGAAGTAGGAAGTGCGTCTCTGTCTTGATCTCTCCTGTCTGTCTGAGAATTACCTGGCTGGTGCACTAATTCTCGCGAGAATCGGAAATGTGTTTACTTAAGTTGCATCCGAATATGCCTACTTCCCTACTATATAGTAGGAGAAAAGAGTAGGTGAAGAGATTAGTATGTCCGAAACCTCAGTATTCATAAAAGAGTAGGCGAGAAATCCCCAGATGAATGAATGAATGATGTCCTACTGCTTCAGCCCAGATTCTGAAGTGTTCATCGATGGACACTTTTCTATCCCAGAAGCCCGCGGGAGAGGATACGTCATCATCGAACGTGAAGGAGAACAGCGACGAGGGTGTTTACAAATGTGAGTATTACAAACCAAAACACGGTTCCTTGTGTTAAAATCGCATTTGTTGAATTACTGTAGAGTAAACTGTTAAATTACTGAAGGTGTAAAGAAACTAAATAGTATAGTATATCTGTGATTTTGCTGTAAAAACATTACATAATATTATGTATAGCGAACAGGGGAGCTCCAGTAAACACACGTATATCTTCAAAGTGGATATACATAAAATATTATACATCTTAAAGAGGCCTACTAAATGTCTATTTAATATGTGTCAGGAAAATGTTTGATAAGTATTGCAGATGAGCACAACTAATAGACATGAAATAGACATCTGAGTGAGTCAAGTCAAGTCAAGCCAAGTCACCTTTATTTATATAGCGCTATTAACAATACAGATTGTGTCAAAGCAACTGTAGAGCATTAATTAGGAAAATAGTGTGTCAATAATGCAGAAGGGCAATAGTAATCACTCAATTTTCAGTTAAAGGCAGTTCATCATTGAATTCAGTGATGTCATCATCCAGCTCAGTTCAGTTTAAATAGTATCTTTGCAATCATTTGCAATCAAGTCCACGATATCGCTGGAAATGAAGTG